GGCGCAACTAACACAATGACGTGGTTCATTATTATAGCAACTTTTAAAGAGTTACAAGAGATAGTCTACGGCGAAACAGCTACGAGGATAGATACGACTACTAAGAAAGCTACGAAACCTATCCCACAAGTGGAAGCTCACCCGGAAATCAAAATAAAGGCCAATAACTATTTACTACTAAATATTTGTGGTAAATAAAATTATTTGATTTAATGATATTATTACAGAATGCTTTCTGATCTGGATGATTCGATTTGTCTTTCTACGAATCGATTAGCATTGAAATGGATACAAAAAATTGTTAAATCGTATGCACTTGAATCGATTCGTAATGTGCGTCCTTAGTAGTGAGAATCCACTGAATTGCAAGATGAGTATTGTGGGAGTGTGTATGTGCCTCTTTCTCGTCTAAAAAAGATTTTTTACATTTGATTTTTCAATGACTTTTTAGCCGTGGCGTCATCTATGAGAAATCTTAAGTATTTCGTCACCCTGTTCGATATCTTTACAGCTACAAGTCTAGGCTAGAGATGTCGCTATTCATTGTATTTATAAGATTTTTACGTCAAAATTTGTAATAGGTATGCAATTATGCCACATTCCGTATTCGCCGTTTCTGCCCACGATTTTGGGGAGAAATGAGTTAAAACCTTCTAAAAAGATGTAAAGGACACTACCACAGACGAAGAGACGTAAGTTGACAAGTTTCATGTGCCTGTAATTTCACCAGCACTCTTACTCTTCAAATTCGCAACTCAATAATGCTCACATTACTGATTGACAGCAGAAATAGTAGCACTTCCGCACCACAACTCTTTCACAAAGAGTTCTACAGCAGCTAGAAGTTTTTAGTTGTAAAATGATAAATAATTATTAATTTCTCACAATCCTAGAATTACTAATTAGAAATGTATTATGTGAAATAATTATACAACGCCACTTAGTTCAAGATACTACTAGAATTAAATTAAAACTTTCTCTTAAAATTTACATTCTTGTTTAGAACTGATAGCTTGATGATAGTTTGATGCTGTGTTCGATTTATTATTAATTCCAAATAGCTTTTCAATACGTAGTTTCTCATCTATGTACAAAGATTTTGAATTCTAGTATCTAATTGATTTTTGGAGAGGAATAAGTATAAATACGAGTTGGCGCCATTGTAACAACACATTATCGTATCAATTATTAATAGGGTGAAACTCTGCCCGAATAAATACCAAATTAACGACATTTTATTTTCATTTCGCTTGTCCGCCATCCTGTACTGCTTTCGTTACACATGTTTATAAAAACGAAAAAACACATTCATAAATAGTTGGAAACATTGCATGTCATTCAAGAACTGTGAACCGTCTTCGATGTGAACTTTCATTCCGATGTTTACTTTCGCCATAACGAGAGGTATTGCTATTAAAGTTTACGTAAGTTAGAAATTGAAGTCATAGTCATGCCGCCCTTTTGTTTTGAACCATCGAATTTTTAAATGACTAGCAATCGTTCTTTCAACCTGCTTCTATGGCTCGTACGCCTCTCTTTCCCTGAAGTAATCAATTATCACCTTTGGATCACGACACAGTTACTCCACGTGTCATCATTATCAGTTTCCAAGCGTCCATTGCTGAAAATAAGCCTCTCCTTGACCACGCCAAATCTTCTGGTCCTGTGCTGTCCACATCCAGCCGCTGTCGGCCACATTTCTCAGGTCGACCTACACTACGTTTTCCTTGACGTGGTCGCCACTCCAGAAAAAGTCTACTCTATCGGCCGTTCGTCCTCCTGCAGACATGTCTGGCCCATTCCCACATACTTAAACCTATTATTTTGCAAGCTATGTCGGTCACTTTAAAGTTCTGACGTATGACTTCATTAGGGATGTCCATTAGAGAAACCCTAAGCACAGTTTGCTTCATCGCGCGCTGAGCCAATTTAAATTCCATATATAACTACACCCTATTCTATATATGTATTTTGACTTCACGTTCTGGCAAGGTCTAATTTATCGCGTATAAAATTACTCCTTATAAATTATATAGCGCATCTTAGCGACAACTATACTCTCCGTCTAGACAATGTTTATTACAAATCTAATTATAGCTTCTAAAAGCCACAATACGACTAGATGTATATTTATACCTATATCTGCTTACACAATCTCCAGATTGCTGGGTTGTACACTTTGGATCGTTCTTATCGTAAGTGCAATAGAGTTTAAATTAAATCTCAAGTGTAAAACCCCGTGTCGTTAGCTGTAAAATCGATAAATTCTGCCTGACACTTTCGAAGTTTAAATACGTGCATATATGGTTTTACTGGAAGTGGTTGACGGGTAAGTTTTCGGTTTTCAATTTACGCCAAATATTTGCAATTCAGCATTGTTCTTGTCCATAAAAATGTAAATAGTGCCTAAACACCAGTCTAAGTCTTAACTAAGTTTAAAGACTAAGAATTGCCTATGTGCCACTAATTGCTTATGTGTCACTAAATTCTAAATCACTTTAATATTACACAACGTGATAAACTTAGCGCAATCGTCACTAGCTAGCACTATGAAAGTTTAATTTTTGTATGAAAAATAGTGATGAACATTAACACGAGAAATAAAAAAAACTGGCTGTTGTTGACAGTCGTCTTCACAAACCACAAATTCATTTAACGTGCAATGTATACGGTTCTATGATAAGATTCCGGTTGATAATCAAAATTTTCCATTTACGAAGTTTAATACAGTGAAGCAAAATCTGTACACTAAAGGTTTTTTATACGGCTTCAGCACACTTGGATGACCAAAAATTCAGTTTACTGACCCGTTTAGCTCTTGCAGACTATCTCAATTTATGAATTATTTGAAATAAATATTGTAACGATAATTGTATACAAATGCTTATTTACACAAAGCAACTCAGAGTTTCTTGGTTATTTTTCTGGGAGGACTCTGCCTTACGAATATATACAATTTTAGTAATAGGGTGAAAAGGCAATAATAACTTCGTTAAATTTCGTAATAATTCGCCAAATCCACGCTATAACCCAGCCTAGATGGTAGAATGCTGGTTTCCTATACCAGGAGTTTAATTTGTTAACGTGGAGCTTCCACCACTTAGAGCAATGCCACACGGCCACTGCCCCGGTGCGCTGCGTCGTCGCAACATTATAATTTTGACGCACCGAGCAATACATACACCGCAGCACCCCTCCCCACTTCGTCTCCTGGCCCCTTATATTCAGCGCACCATGTGGCATGTAGTTCTAATTTATATGTAGTACAAAGCAGCGTCACTCAGGTGTCGCAAAGCCAACGCAACGCATCATGTGACATCGCTCTTAGTCTTTTCGAATCATAAGTGTGGGTGGGTGCGTTCAGCGAGGCATTCGAAATTTCTGAGTACATTGCGCGCAAACATGTGTCTTGTGTAGGACATATCCAACACAAAACACAATGACACAATGTACGGGCAAATCTTGAACGTCCCGCAGAACGCACCACCGTTGCGAATTTGTAGCCTTTGACATTGATGACGTGTGAAGTTCCCACCATACTTTGAGCTGATATAGTGGCCGATAGTGTGTACAGTGTAAAGAATGATGACTTATCACTTTTATATAGGTGTAGGTCATAGGTTCACTTACATATTAACTCATCGAGTATTTAACCAGAAATAGAAACTAAATGTCATTTAATTTGTTTGAAAACTATTCTGCCAAATCATTACGGTGACAACTGCGCTACGATTGTTCAGCACGTATTCGAAACTTAAAATCGACTAGTTTAACTGGAGCTTTGCTATAATGGACGAAAATTAAAAAAGTACATATTTAATATTTAATTACCGATGAAATGTGATTCCGTTTGTTTTGTAATTAGATGTTTTGCTATTTTTACCACACCACCGAATGGAAAAGCCCCCCATTGTTGGAGATATTACCTTTATTACAATAAATACATAATATTTTTGGAATACACGACAAGACGTACACACAGGTCAATTGTTGGCGCTGTACTATTTCAGGTTTCTAATCTGTGATTTCAGCGCAAACGAGAGTTGATATTTAAAAGTGATATAATGCCCATTTGCCTGATGCATTCATCAACACGTCCGCTCAGCGCCGCGCGAGCGCCGACTGACTGGCGGGCCGCGAAGTATTTACCTGAGAGCGAGAGCGAGAGGCATATATATAGTCTCTCTCTCTCTCTCTCTCTCTCTCTCTCTCTCTCTCTCTCTCTCT